ATAGTGTGCCAGTTCTAATCTTAAATAGGAGACCCTTTAGGCTTATAAAAGAGTTAGTTGTTGAAGTAGCATTTACAGCTCTCCTCGAGCCTTAAACTCTATCTCTCTCAACCAATTCCCTCATAGCCTAAGTTCCCAGCCTTCCTTATCCCTGAATAGTCTTGAAAATTGTAAGAATTTGTAATAATACTTCTTTTATTCACTTCTTCTCTATCACTTTTATATATTCTTTCGCTTTTATGCGCTGGTGCCAGAAATGGTATCAGAGTCAAAGATCAAAAATTTTGCGCCGATAATATATTTGTTTGTTTGAATAAGTATGCACTGTGGTTGTGGTTTAGGCCGATCCTCCACATCAGAAAAACTGTTTAAAGGTATATTGGCTGGAAAACTGGATAGTTAAGTCTTCCCGATTGGGTTGCTTGAAGCATAATAGGCCAGTCCATATCACCTTTGTCAGGTTTAAATCCTGATGATTTAGTGTGAAATAACAAAGTCACGTACTTTGTTTATACAACTATTTATTCTCTCTGAATTCATATTTTCTGAAAACTGAACTTTTCCAATAGAAATTTTTTTATTAATTAAACCATGCCTAAGAGTCTTTAAGGGTAGATGAACGTTGGTAAGCCGGTTTAAGTGGTACGACCAGTAAGTAGAAATAAAACCGGCCTTGATGAAAGGGTCGACACTCAGCCCTCCTCTTCACATCTGCCATAAGCTGCTGGCGGGGACGATCCATGCACGAAAGGAGAGTCAGGGGAAGATCACTCAGCCCGATCTCTTCGTGCTGCACTGCATGCTACACGAATGCTGGTGTAATCCCTGTTACTTCTTTTTGAAGGCTCTGAAGGACTTTGGGAGCCACCCCGTTGGATCCATCCTCATGGCTCCCCTCATCACCTCCCTGGCCGAGAGATGGAGATACGCCAATGGGGAGGACATTCCCTCCATCCTGCTACCTGAGCTTATCAGTGGGTCCATGCTCGTCAGCATGGGCATGCTCATCAGGCAACGGTCCCAGGTGGCCCTCCACCCGACGCTCTCCATGATCCTAGACATCCAGGATCTGGATGCGTCGTAGGAGATCCTGATGCCCCCGGAGTTCGAGCAGCAGCAGCAATACGAGGATGACTTTCCTGGCATTCACCGTCACATGGATGACATTCGCTAGCAGTTAGACTAGATTTCCCTGAGGCAAGACGTCTTCGAGATGCGGCTGGAGACCATCAGCCAGAGGCAGGAGGGAGTGATTCAGAGCCTGGATACGATCGGCCAACATGTGCTTGGCATGATCCGAAGCCAGGAAGAGTTTCAGAGGCACATGCTCCGACAATTTCCTCCTCTTGAGTCATCTTCAGCCTCGCAGTCGAGCCTACCGCCGCCTTAAGAACATCATTGTATATATATAATCATTGTAAAAATTTCATGATGTATATAAATAAAATATTTTGGTAAAATTGTTTGTCTTTGTTCTCTTCCAAAAAAGAAAAAGTAAGCGTAATAAAAAGAGACTAAAAAGTAAAATGGCTTACGTGTTATCCCGAAAAAGCCAAAATCCAAAATCACGAGAAAAAAGAATAAACCGCGGGAAAATGCGAGATTAATCCCAAGACATTAGCCACCATTCTCCCAACAAAGAGAAAAAAGGCAGAAAAGCAAAACGCCCACCTGCTCAGAGGCGTTACCCAAAATCATAAAAAATCCCCGACAACCAGCAAAGTCGGATGACCATTACAAAAAAGATCAAAACAAAGAATCCCTAGCAATCAACAAGCTGGATGGCTATTAGGAAAATCCAAAAATCAAAGAATCCCCGGCACACCGGAAGAATTTACCAGAAAAGTAAAAAAAAAAAAAACAGAGCATCAAGCAGAAACACTCCTCACAAGGAACGACGCATGAGCTAGAGTAGTATGCCGCCACCACAACTTCGGGACAAGGGAGGTCCCGAAGACAAAGACCTGCACACAGGCAAAATCATTGCGCATGAGCCAGAGCAATAAGTCGCAACCAGTCTTATAAAGTGGACTTTTACAACCAAATGGGGGTGTGTACTCATCGGACCTTACAAAAGGGGGCTTATCAGACGGGGGTTCATACTCGTCAAACCAGATGAGGGTGTGTACTCATCAGGCCTTACAAAAGGGGGTTTACCAGATGGGGGTTCATACTCGTCAAACCAGATAAGGGTGCGTACTCATCAAGCCTTACAAAAGGGGGCTTAAACCGGATGGGGGTTCGTACTCATAACCAAAGGAGTCAGTTACCGCGCCAAAGGAGCATCCCAGAGGATCATATTTAGCATCTAGAAGGTCGGCTACCACAACCAGGAAAGCAAACGAAGGACAACCGGCAAGAGGGTTAACTCCTTCACTCTCCAGCCGATCATTTTGGCATGTTGAGCCAACAGTCGACTAGTCAGGTGAAGGGGGGCAGCTGTAGACCCCAAATCTTATCCAGCCTCAAAATAAAGAGTAGAAGACTTTCGTTCGAAGATGGGAAAGGCCTAAAAGGTCCCTAGAATTGATCAATAGGCCTCATATTAGAATAGAAAGGATTTTTGTACACGAAAAATAAGAAATTCCACCTAAAGGGCCGAGACTGCCGTCTCGTTGTTGGCTAAGGGCGAGACCATCATCTCGTTTGGCGAGACCGCCGTCTCGTTTGGTGAGACGGCAGTCCTAACCTGACAGGTGCAAATTCCTATAAAAGGTGGGGCTTTCTCACTCTTTACACACAATTCTACCACTTTCCCTTCTGTAAAATCTTCAAATTACTCTTCTAGGACCCCTCTGAAGCATTTCCAGAGTTTCTTAGAATTCTTAGAAAATGTTCTGTAGTGTTGCGAGGAAGAGCGATCATCATTGTAGAGTGTGGGGATTGCCAAAAAGCACCCTCTTTCAAAGAATTTACTATAAAAGCTTACTTCGAAGGTTTCTATATACTCCTTTCTCTACTTTACTGCTTTTTAGATAGTATTGTTGTGCATTAATCATTTAGGGCCATGTAGTCAATAATTTAATTTCCGCAATAAATAAATAAAGGTAAAAGCGCAATTTAGAGTTATTATTTCTTTATAAAAATAGTCCATCATAGGGAACCCGAAAGGGGCATCGTAGGGAAGCTAATACCTTCCCTACATGTAACTAACTCCCTTACCTAACTCTGGTTGTGATGATCAAAGTGGGTTTTTCTTAAAAAACCGCTGCCTTCTTTTTTCTTCCTCTTTCAATGTTTATGGGAAAAACATTAGTAGCGACTCCTCGAACTTTCGAAAACCTCGCCTTTAGGTCCAACCTGGTTATCAGACAACCTAAAGACGTTGAACCATTCCTTTAAAAAACGCGAGTCGAACGAAACCATCGCGTCGCTCGGACCGCCTCTTTTGATGGTGGCGACATTAGGTAAATTATATTTTACTTTTAAATTTTCATAATTAACCGTTCTTAGAGTTTGTATAGTTTTTTCGTGATAGTTGATAATTAGTTAGTCCATCTATGTTCCATTCGGTTATTCCGGTTCCATTCGGTTATTTCGGTTCTATTGAAGGTGGATGGACTTTCTAAATTTCATTCTTCGAATTGTATATCCGGTAGAGTTGGTCTTCCGTAGTAATTCCTAGTAGTTGCCATATTACGAGTAGTTGGATTTGCATTAAATTTGCTTCTTATCCTATTTATTTTTTCTTCGTAGTCTATATTTTCTAGGTTTCCTAGTTCTTCTTCTAGGATTTCTATAACATTTAATTTTCTTAAATTTAATTGTTCTAATTTTTTATTTATTTCATCTAATATTCTTTCTGATTGATTTCCTATTTTAAACTTTTTATATTCTTTATCGGATAATCTTATAGGGTTAATAATAAGTTGTTAATATTTAATTTTGTCCAATTAATTAATTAAAAATAATAAAAAATAAAAAGAATGAAAAAAAAGGAAAGTAAAAATATAAGAAATAATAAAAATAAAATATTTTTCTATCTTTAACTTTTTAAATATTAGAAAATGACTAGTAATTTAGTGTCAATAAATTTTGAAGTTTTGAGAATATTGATTTGATTTGCCTTAAAAAATTTAAACTAGATATATTTAAAAAGAAAAAAAATAACATATAAAATATACAAAAATTAGAAAATAGCAAAGATGTTTTGATGTTGGTTTAGACAGATTTATTCCAAAAGTGGTGGCAATTTTTTTTTATTGAAGACTCAATTTTCGTGGCACAGTGAAATCTCACAGCAAGAACAGCACTTTTGTTGTCACAGCTCAGATGAATCATTCAAAAATAGTACCTCACCTGTCACTCTCTTTCATGCAACAAGGACACTCACTATACACACTGTAACTCAATTACACAGCTACCTCCCTTCCACTTTAGGACAATAAACATTCACGAGAACAACACATCAAAGACACACTCTTCTTTGTTCTTTTTTGTGTTTTTTCTCACAATCTCTCACACATTAGTCCATTGCATGCTACCTTTTAATTATATGTGCTTGTTCTCACACAATCATATTATTAAAATTAGAAGTGATACATCAACCTATTATAGAATAAATCATATTCTTGTATGAATTTAACTGTTTTGGGTAAATTATTATACCCACATCTCTAAAAATAGGGACCACTGACTGTACAGAGCGTCCAGCCTCGAACCTAAAGGTGAATAGGCTGACTTGAGACCAAGGACAGTAAAGGTCAGCCTGAACGGTACAACAGCAACTTATGCATTGAAACACCTATCTGAAAGAAATCAAACGCAATCACCAGGTTCAAGAATTTTTATCACATTGAGATTTTGAGTGAGTGATTAATGGTGCATCAGAACATAGGCAACTACATATAATATAATCAAAGCTGCAAAGCATGTCCATGAATGCATGTAATTTAAAGTTCAAAAACGACTAGTTGATAAGATTTACCATAGCCACAACTTAACTAACAATTCAAATTGAACTGCTTATGGTTTACAAGACATGTGAGACTTGGATATTATTACCCAACTAATTCTTGCAGCTTATGACAAAAACTATCAATGTAAGACTTCTCCAAATCCTTGGTGAGTAAGAGGTTTCTCAATTTTAAATGGTTTTCTCTGACCTCCTTTCCGACTTCACTCTCAAAATCCATCACAGTCTTAACAGCTCTGCAGACACTCTCCTTTGTGAACAAACCATCTTCTTCACCTTTCTCCACTTGAACACCTGCCTTTATGCTCCTGCTTATCATCCTCGCATTAAGGAGCTGGTCAATAAAATTTGGTAACACCACAATCTGACACCTGCTCACAAGTGCCTCTAGTAAAGATGCAGCTCCACAATGGGTAATGAAGCACCCGACAGAAGGGTGGTCAAGAATGAGTGTCTGCTGAACCCAACCCCCATGGACAATGCCTCTTCCTCGAACCCTCTCATGGAACCCTTTTGGCATAGCTGCTTCAACGGACTCAAATCCAACAGGGGCTTTAAGGGCTGCAAGAAATGGAAAACCTGTTAACTCAAGACCCAGCAACAGTTCCTTGAGCTGATCTTGATGTAGCCTGCATTCACTTCCAAATGCACAGTACACCACCGATCCATCCTTGAATCCTGAAAGCCATTCAGCCCATTTTTCTTCCAAAGTGAATGCGTGTGCCTCAGGTAGGACAGGCCCTGAAAGCCACAAAGGCTTCCCATAAGAACTTTCAAGAAAGTCCGCATATGGTTCCTCAATTTCTCTACAACTTCTAAATGCCACTGCATCTGACAATCTGGTGCTGGTGCTGATGCGATCATAGTAGCGAACACCACTGCCAAACTCTGAATTCACGATTGAAGTTAATTGTCGAACCTCGTGAGCCTGAAGCTTGATGGAAGGATCTGGGAAACCAGCTGGGGGATTCTCCAGATTCAGCTCATTTCCAACTGAATTATTTTCCCGAAACTGCTTCTCCATGCATTCCATATAAGATTCAAATATCATGCTTAGGGTTATGTAATGAACAGACTTGATGCCTAAGCTCCGAGTCAAGTTTGGCATCCAACATGTATAATCAAAGAAAACGATGTTGGGTTTCAGCTCAAGTAAAATTAGCTCAATGTCCTTCTCCGTGCGATCCATTGCAGTCATAATAAACGTGCCTAAGGAGATGGAAGCATCGAAAATAGTTTCTGCATGAGGAGGAAGGCCATCAACTGGGGGAATGGTGATGGGGATGAAGCTTATTAACTGTGGATGGAGGTTGATATGTTCCACCCTTGCCTTTGTTCGTTTGGGTAAAATGAAGGAAATTTTGTGTCCTCTTTCTGCTAATTTGTTGGCTAGGTGGAGGTATGCGGTTATGTGTCCAATCGCAAACCATGGATACATTGCCATGTGCAACTGCGACATACCAGCGTCCATGGCTTCCTCAGAAATATCACCACGTTGATTTGAGGGCTCTTTTATCAACTAATGTCTTTGAAGTTCTTATCTGAAGCCCTTTCATGAATGCCATACAAACTTCTGGCCTTCCTATATTAACAGCACATGATTGAAGATTTGTCCTCTAGTGCTAACATCTAAATTATTGACCCTGCATACTATGTATTCGATCAACGGTATTATTTTACCAGTATATTCGATTTTTATTTTGTTATTTTGAATGAATTTTGATAATAATATATTTTAAAAGAAAGATTATTCAAATGAATTATATATGAATTGATTTATCCAGAAAGACGTATTTACTGTTTATACATAATTTTCCTCTCTCTGTTCATACATTTTTTTATTTCTTTCTTTGTTCACACTTAATCTTTCTTATTTCTATTTCATGTCTCTTATTTCTTTCTCATTCCCTACCTATTAACTATTATATTAAAATTCAATAAAAATATATTCAAATAAATATTTTAAAAATAATATTGAAACTAAAAAAATATTAATTAATTATTTTAAATTATGATGATAATAAATTATTTTATTAAAATGATGTAAATAATTAATTTAAAAATTATTTTATTATAATAAATAATTATTGATCTAGATAAATAAATTTAAAGGATTTTTTTAAATAATTTTTTAAAATATATTATTTATGATATTAATTTGTGAAAGGTGTAATCAACGACGTCAGCTTCGAACCGACGTTAGTATCAAACGACGTTGAAAGTTTAGACTTTCAACATTGGTTGGTGAACCGATGTTGAAAGTCTGTCATTCTACATCGGTTATAAGGAGAACCGACGTAGAAAGTCTTACTTTTTATTTATTTATTAACCCCTCTTTATTTATCTAGTTTTATTTATTTATATTATATTTTTATTATTTATTATATTATTTTAAGAGAATTGTCACTGATAAGATTTAGAGTTGGAGGTCGATACTCCAACCACTAAGCTATTAGTATTTTCTCGATAATAACTTATAAATAAATTATATTTATATACAAATAAATGTATATCTCTGTAAATATATAAATGTAAAATATATAAATACAAATATATTTATATATTTTGATATATTTATATAATTATATATTTATATGTTGGATGTGAGAGCGCGTCCGAGGGTGAAAGTGTTGTTGAGTGGATTTTCAAAATTTGATATCAAATTTAATCTAATTATGATTATTAATAGAACAATTTTTTCCTAACATAGATTATTATAAATTAATCAAAATCATCTTTTAATAATTATTTTTTCCATACATAGATTAATTTATAATAATTTGTTAAATTAAATAATTTTAAAAATAAATATTGTTGAACATACAAGGACTTGATGTTGAACTTACATGGACATGAAGCTTGTTGATTTTGATGATGATTCAAGAACAAAGAACTTAAAGAGTTGAAGACTTGTATTATTGTGTAATAACTCGTTTTGATGAGTTTGAGTCTCGTAATATTAGAGTCTAAGATAGCTCGGTACATAGTCTACTCTTTAGAAGCTTCAAAAACTCATATTTATCAAAAAGTCTCAGGTTTAAAATAATCGATTATTACAGTGAGAAAAACCATTTTCTGTATCAGCTCACTGTTAATCGATTAACAGGGCAAATAATCGATTAAACCAGTGCGTTTTGGAGTTCTGTTGATTTTGACTCTGTAATAATCGATTAACACTTGAGATAATCGATTATTTAGTTAGATTTGCATTTTGAACTTCAAATTAAACCTAAACCCTAGTCCCAATACACCAAGTTTTGGAAATCCCCAATTCCCAAACCTTAATTCATCTACTTAAGGTTCTCTAAGGCTCTCTGTAAATTGAACAACCTTTTTCAAACAAAATTTACACTACTACAAATAAGGCCTTCAACGTCGGTTCCAGAACCGACGTTGAAAGTCTGATTTTTCAAATTAAATTTTTTTATTTATTTCCAACCTTTCCAACCCCTCTATTTATCTAGAAATCCCCCCTCTCTTTTATATTATATTTTTATTAGGTCCCTCTCTCTTTTATATTATATTTTTATTATTTATCATATTTTTTTTAAGTTTAAAGCATTACCAAATTATTTTTTTGTCATCGACGAGATTCGAACCCAGCATCTTAGTGTTGGAGGTCGATACTTCAACCACTAAACTACTCGAATTTTTTGATAGTAAGTTACAAATAAATTATATTTATATACAAATAAATATATATCCGTGTAAATATATAAATACAAATATATTTATATATTTTGATATATTTATATAATTATATATTTATATATTGGATGTGAGGGCACGCTCGAAGGTGAAAGTGTGTGTTGAGTGAGTTTTCAAAATTTAATGCCAAATTTGTGAGCGAGTCTCTATATATGGGTTTGTAATTTAATGACAGTAATATAATATTTATAATTTATTTATATAATGATATAAAATAAATTTGAAAAACGCATCATTCACTCAAGTGACACATTCGCTCAAGCTAAAAATACCAATTTTCGCTCAAGCTAGGCTTGAACGAGTGAATTTCTGCGAGCTTTAACGTATTTTCACTCAAACGAGAGTCAATCTCACTTTCACCCTCGATCGCGCCCTCACATCCAACATAAAAATATATAAATATATTTGTATTTATATATTTACACTGATATATATTTATTTTTATATAAATATAATTTATTTGTAAATTATTATCAAAAAATTATAGTAGTTTAGTGGTTGGAGTATTAATTTTCAACTCTAAAATACTATATTCGAATCCTATCGCTGACAATTCTCTAACTTAAGTGAATTTTTTACTAAAAAAATAAAAACACTTTCCGAAAATATATATAAATAAATATATATATTTACACGTATATATATTTATTTGTATATAAATATAATTTATATGTAAGTTATTATCGTAAAATTACAATAGTTTAGTGGTTGGAGTATTAGCTTTCAATTCTAAAATACCAGGTTCGAATCTCGTCGATGACAATTCTCTAACTTAAGTGAATTTTTGGCTAAAAAAAATAAAAACACTTTCCGTAAAATATAAATAAATATATATTTATACGTAATATATATTTATTTGTATATAAATATAATTAATTTGTAAGTTATTATCGTAACATTACAAGTAGTTTAGTGGTTGGAGTATCAACTTTCAACTTTAAAGTACTGGGTTCGAACCCTGTCAGTGACAATTCTCTAACTTAAAAGAATTTTTGGTGAAAACACATTCAACGTCGGTTCGGACCGACGTTGAATGTCAACTTTCAACGTCGGTTCCAAATGAACCGACGTTGAATGTCAACTTTCAACGTCGTTTTTTAATCAACCGACGTTGAATGTCAACTTTCAACGTCGTTTTTTAATCAACCGACGTTGAATGTCAACTTTCAACGTCGTTTTTTAATCAACCGACGTTGAAAGTGCATTTAACGTCGGCTCAGCTTTAACCGACGTTAAATGGCGACGTTGAAAGTATATTTTGTAGTAGTGTTAAGAGTTGTGATTGCCAGAGAACTGTTTGTTGGAGGAAAAAGGGGCTTTTGGAACCTGGTGTGGGCTAGAAGCGATAAGAATCACTAAGTGGAGTTCTTAGTAGATTGTGTGTTGTGCCGTATCTAGGGAAAGTTGTTCTTCATTTCTTGTGTGACTCAAGAGAGGTGTTTTCATTACTCTATATTTTCCATTGTTATCTGTTTGTAATAACTTTGATTATAGTGACAGTGTTAATCCTCTGTTTGAGTGATTAGCAACTGGACGTAGGGTCTTTTGATCCGAACTAGTATAAATCTTCTGTGTAAGACTCTATCCTTATCCTATTTATGTTTACACATTATTTTAATCGGTAAAATTTGGGAAAAAATTTTAAAATCTAATTTTTGTTAAGAAACCAATTCACCCCCCTCTTGGTTTTTGTCCGTTCACGCAAACATTCTGCTGCGCGATTCTAACAAGTGGTATCAGAGCTTGCTTTGATAGTCATTCAATTTTTTTTTTCGAAAAATGGCCGGACAAAATCAAACGTTTGCCGAAGGTGCATCTATCAACAGACCCCCACTTTTTGCGGGTCAAAATTATCCTTTCTGGAAAGTTAGAATGCAAATCTTTTTAGAGTCTGTTGATAGAGGCATTTGGGACGTTATTTTAAACGGTCCCTATATTCCAAAAATTTCTGAAAACGGAGTAGACGTTCCTAAACCATTTTCTAGATGGACAGCGAAGGAAAATGGAAAAACTCAATTGGACGTTAGGGCTAGAAATATTATTTCATCTGCTTTAACCCTTGATGAGTTTTACAGGATCTCCATTTGTAAAAGTGCTCAAGAGATGTGGGAAATACTAAGAGTAACTTATGAAGGAACCGATGATAGTGACTCGATTTTGGAGTCAAGTGATTCGGAAATAGAAGCTAACATTTGCTTGTTGGCAAAAGACAATATATCTTCCGACTTTGAGGTTAGTGATTCTGACTCATCCTCAAGTGATGATGAAAATGATTTTGATGAATTACAAAATGCATATGAAGAATTGTTTAATGCTTTTAAGGACTTGAAAAATGAATACAAATCTGTGAAAAAGAGTTTGAATAGATCCGAAAAGGAGGTGGAGTCCTTAAAAATGAAAATTGCATGTTTAGAAGAAAAGGATAATAAGAATATAGCATGTACATCATGTAAAGAGTATGAACATGATATTGATTTACTTAGACATTTGCTTGATAAAGCGAAAAAGGAATTAAGTGATAGTTATAAGAATAAGGATAGTGTTCAAATTAAAGAAAATTGTCATGTTCCTTTGAAAAAGCCTAAAATTAAAAATAGAAGAGTATGGGTTGAAAAAGGAACTAAAATTTCAATAGTTAGAAATGTATCATATTCTAAAATTACATCTAATGTATGTTTTTATTGTATGAAACATGACCATACTTCAAATAGATGTAGAATTAAGCATTTTGGTATTCCTAAAGGAAAATATGTTTGGGTTCCT